TAAACTCCAACATCGTGCTCACAGAACTCGACTGCTGGCGATCTCTGCAAATAATCCGACCAAGATTATTATATTTCTACAATTATCATCACAAAACTTACATTTGCACTAGTTTTCCGTTGGGCACCAGGTTCTCCAGATTCTGAACGTGCTTAATGCGAAAACCCAGCTTGGCTGGATTTGGATTATTGGCTAAAAGGCCGGCAATGCCAGCTGGGAATGATAGCATCATATCACCGGACACTTTCACCTGGCAGCGCGACTCATCGCTGCCCCGAAAATATGCGTGTATGATTTCGTGGAATGCCACTGCCAGCGGTATGGTGTCCGAAATACCAATTGTGAGTGGAGAAGGACCTCGCGAGGATCCCACTCCCCCGATAGCCGTACGAAATTCCAGGCTGCCAATGCTCTCGGCTCGATTCATAGCAGTCACCGGAGCCGGCGACATTCTGCCACGTCCCGGTGCTGTCCCTGTTGCCGCCGGTCCAATGGCTATCATATCAGAGCGTCGTGATGGCGGACGTGGTATGGCTATGCTTCCACCTGTTGACGCTGACGTCGGTGTTGGTATTTGTCTTCCGGGCGGCTTTCCCAGCGTCGCCGATGAGGGCGCCGACATACTCATGTCACCCAGCTCTGAGAAGATATCGCCAAGATCTGCATAGCGACTGTTGGTCGTGGTGTTTGCGTTATTATTGTTGGACAGCGTGGGACTCTGCAGCGGGGCATAAGGATGCACACTGGCCGTGGGAGTGGAGGCGTTCGATATTTCCGGCGACTGTTGACGCGACGCCGGAGCTCCTCTGGCTGCTTGCAACTGCTGACTGTGATGCTGTGTTGGAAATAGATTTGTATGTTTTAACAAACTTATACAACATTCTAGTAAGTAGAACTCACTGAAAATACTCCAGTCGGGGACAGCGAAATGTTCTCCACGGTGGCACGAAGCTCATCTACGCTGGCCGATATGGGTGCCTGGCCATTCTTCAAGGGCTTAATGCTGACATGGATCCGGCGCTCCTGCTTGTCATTGTCGGAGTCCGTATCCGAGTCGGAATAGAAACTGCCAGCTGTAATATTGCGCCATTTAAGTCGTGCGTCCAGAAATCATTTAAGTTAAGAGCTTACATTTATCCTGGCCCTCCTCCCACGCTATTTCCTTAGCAGGCTGTATGCTGAATCCCTCCTCATCAACTTCATAGCCAGTCCCAGTGCCACTTGCGGCGCCCGGAGCTGTGGTCGAAGCCGAATTGGTTAGGGCACCTGCAGTGGGAAGGCTCCCACTGGCCACGGCGGCACCTCCGCTGCCGCCCATGCTACTTGCTCCTGCGGAATCCACGCTCCCTTGAGCTGAGGTCACCGACAGGGCGGCTAAGCCACCGCCTGCGCTACTGCCGCTGGAATTCTGCGTCTTCATGCTGCGCCCATGATCGTCATAGTCCAACAGCGTGTTGTTGCCTCGATCCAAACTAGAAAATAAAATAAGAGCGGTTCCGGTTAAGATTTTAGTAATTGAGGCATATAACCAATTTGTAGACCCACCTGGTGAGGCGTTCTTCCTGTATGTTCTCGGCGGCCTCATTGTCTTTCTTTTTCTTAGCCTTTTTGGTTTTTGTCTTGTCGCGACGACTGCGTAAAATGCCAGAGACTATCGGCGAAAGGTGGGTTATATTAATTATAGAAGGAAATCCGATTTTCTTAAGTAAATAAGCAAGCTAATGGCTAATAGAGTACACAGGAAAAGAATGTGACACCTCAACACATCAATGTACTTCAGTGTTGGGACTCCGGTGTTGGAAATAACTTCTGTGTAATAGAACAGTTCACAGTTGAAACTTAAATGCATTGTCTTTCTCAGAACTCAAACACCGCCTTAAAGTGCTTCAAAACCAATTAAATGTTAATCGGGTATGAGAGAGCAATAAGTTGAGCACACAGAAAAGCCTTTAAATATACATATTATGGATAGGTACATGCAATTTTTTTTTTTTTTTGGTGGAAATGCTGTAGAGGTGTTTTAGTAGTTGGAGGGGTGGTGAAATGGGGGCCAATCACTATCATTGACATTCTTGATTCATTTACCCTGAGAGTTTGATGTGAATATATTTAAAAGTGACGTTGCACGTCTGGACGTTGTCGTTGTGGCGGTTGTTGCTGCTGCAGATGTTGCTGCCGTAGCTGATGCAGTCTGTTGTAGGTGCTCTTGCTCATTTAATGATTTCGATAGCTGCTGCTCGCTTGTCGTTGCGTTCAATTGCTTCTTCCCCGGCGCACTCGCCGCTGCAATTGCAGTGGCACTTGCGGTTGGAGTTAAGGCCTCTGCCGGTTGCTGTTGTGTCTGATCTAAAGTTTTGATTTCGATTAGTCGATCGGTGCATGGATGGGTGGATGATGGATGATGGGGATGAGCAGTGGTTGATGGATGCGATGGATGTGATGGATGTATGCAAAGCATGAATACGGAAATAAGACGGAGAAAAGCATATAGAAAAGATTGCAGTTGTAAGTGCTATTAGTTCAATGGCTTTATGGCATTTGTGTGTGCGTGTAGATGTGCAGTAGTTTATGTAAAAAGTCAGGACAATTGTCTGATTGATTGGCTGGTGTTTGAGTGTACAATTAAAGATCGCATTAAACTAATAAACGAAGATTTAAAATAAGAATAAATAAAATCCATACAATTATTTACAATTATCATGGAAAAAAGACTATTTCCAAATGCTTGGTACTTACTCCATAAAACAGAATATGGAAAACATGACGAGAATTTTATGGAAGCAGTACTGAGCATTAGATCCCACAATATCAAATAGTCATTTTAAAAACTTTAAGCAACATGAACAGGTACAATTTAGAGACGAACATAAACATAAATATATATAAAAGAACATATGAGGAAATATGTTACAGTAGAATAGTAAAAATGAAGATCAACTGATAGACCCCATAAGTACATACATAGAATAAACTTTAACCATACAGCGACGTAAACGAAAAATAATAAATAAAAACATAAACCATAAAAATCAAAGAGAAAGAACCTTGATTGCTAGTATCCTCAGAATTAGGGGAATTTTTTGTGATATTTGTGGTGAGATTATTCGTGCCAGTTGTTGTTGTAGTTGTTGCTGTTGTGTTGTTGGTGGTGTTCAGATTGTTGCTTGCTGTTGTCGTGGTGGTGGTATTGTTGGTGCTACCACTTCCGGTCATACCGAAATTTCCGGCGCCTGCAGACGGTTGCTGTTTGGCAGTGGGCAAAAACCAGGATCGCAGACTCTTCACCGTGGATGTGGCTCCACCAGTCGGCTGCGATTGTATCCCAGCTGCATTTGCTCCCGCCAGCATGTCCGGCGATGTGGGACGCGGGGAGCCCATAGCTCCCAGTATCGGATCCTCGGCAAAGGGAATACTGCCGCTGGCTGCACTTCCGCTGCCCAGAGAGATTGCCGCCAAGGCATCTCCCCGCTGATCCATGGACACCGCACTGCCCGAGGCTGTCGCTGCTGCATTTCCAGCCCGCAGAGCAGCCTGAATGCTGGTGGCCGAATTTGAGTTTGACGCGCTGGCCGAGACCTGCGGCTGCTGGAGGCGAGAACCACTCGACAAGGCCACGTACTCCAGTTCAGGCATTTCTGTAATAGGAACCATAACAACTCATTATTCGCTCGAATAATGATTGATTGCTAACATACCTGGCTTCTCCAAACCCGTGTATTTATTGAGCACAAACTGTTCTAGGAGTTTATCAACAGACATGTCGACAAACTGCCTCTTGAAGTCGGAATGTACTTGACCCACCATATCGTGATTGTTCTGCAGCATTTCTAGATACGTGGACAGAAACTCCTTCATTTGACGAAGGTGCACCTCCTCAATCTCTTGAAAGCGCTACAACGGAAAATATTATACAAATTAAATTCAACTTAATCCATTAAATGCAAGTCTTCCTACCTTGCAAGTCTGGGTCATGCGTCTCTCAAATTCGTTCTTAATGGGGTTATGCTTATCCAACAAGGCCTTGTACTCCTCCTGCAGTTTTTTCAGCTTGCTCTCCAGCTTCTCAGCATCCTTGTGCGAGCCGTTGTCTTTGCGCAACTTCTCCAGCTCCTGGACCTTGCTGGCGTACAGATCGCGCAACTTTTGCACTGCCACCGTCGATGTCTGGATGGCTTGGACGCACTCAAGAGTCTGCGATTCCTCCTCCTTGACTGATTTGTGCTTCTTGTGCAGCTCGTCGGCATACTTGGCGACATCCTTGACCAGCTCGGTAAGCTTTTGCACCATCTGCAGGTGGAGCGTGGAAAGTTTCTCCGCTGATGTTCGCAGTATGGTCCAAACAGGTGCGAATGTGCTATTTAGCGTACCAGCCTTGTGGGCCAGCTTGGACATCATCTTCGAGTTCTGCTCCTCAATGTTAGACTTCTCGCGCAGAAACTCGGACAACTCCTTGCTGGCAATCAGGCCAAACTTCATGTTGTGGTACAAGACATCGTAGCCATTGTTCTTCTCCCCCTATAAATGAAATGAATGTATATATTTACCCGATGGTCCAAATGCAGGATATTTGACTCACCCAAAAATAATCGTTGAAATCGACCGTCATTTTAGTTGTATTCTTAATATTTCGATCTCTAGGCTAGTTCAGCAGTTACTTATTTTCCCTTTCCACTCTAGATTAAGGCTTTCTGGCGATGTAATTGACTTCACTTCTCTAGGGGCCCCAGATTAGTAGTATGATCCTTACGATGCTACTGTATGCCTGGGTTGGACTCCTCATCATCAGATTCAGCTCCGTCCTCAGCATGCATGGGCATTTGTTGCTGGCGAGTATCTTGCTTAGGCTTAGTGTGTTCTATGTAAATACTAGAAATTTCAATGAAATCAATTAATTTGAATTGATATTGTTTTTGTAAATAGAAAATGTAGCTCAAAACTTGATTAGTTAACTGTGCACTGGATGACAAATAAGTAAATGTACCCTTTTTGTGTTTGGTTCTAAGTAGATATTTATTGAATATTTGACAATCTAAAATCTTAAAAAAAATAATAAATGTTGAAAAAAAACGAGAGGGTGAGACAATTCTAATCTGCATTAAGCTTGGCCATTTCCGCATCAATTCGCTCATCCAAAGCTCTGGTCAGGATGGTACAACAGTCCTTGATGGCGTGGTAGATAATATTCTTGATCTGAAGCTTGTCCTCGTGATTTGTGTGGGAGTGCGAGAGCCTTCTGAACTCGTGAGTTAGATGGTAGCAGTGCGTGATGTTTTCCGGGGAGACAAAATCCTCGGCCACCTTGATGCAGTTGTGAAGATTCTGGACTTGATGAGGGGCGCCGGCTGGTATAAAGACAGCGTCGCCCAAGCACTGGACAATCGGATGTCCCTCCACGCCATACTCTTTGAATAAACGGGCACGCAACTTGTCGTCCAAGTACCAATTCTGATCGTGAATAGGATCGTGATCCGGCTCCAGGCGGAAACCCTTCTCCAGGGTCACGCGGTTAAGTAAATCCCTTATCTTGTCCGCATCTCGAGCCGGAAATATGTGCCAAAGAGCTCCGGGTAATACATCTGGCGACTGGCAACGAGCTCTAGTGATATAATCGCAACCGCCCAGAGCTATGGCTTTCTGCGTGGCCGCCATGTGAGGTTTAGTGTCCCCATCCTGGGGTATTCCCACATAAACCATTATGTTGACTGCATCCGAGATGTCCAAGTGAAGATTGGTTGTCCCCTTGTCTGGGTGCAATGCAGAGCCGTAAGCGTTGTACATTTTGGGTCCTAAATCTGGTGGGACAAACATCTTGGGCAAGCAGCTAGCAATATTGAGGTTTCCCGTGCGAAGAGTGTACTCCGGCATGGGCAGTCCCTTCATCAAATCAGCAAACCTGGTGGGCAGTATTTCGGCAAAATCATCGCCCGGCGGCCAATCCTTAAGCTTCAAGAGCATGGGCTTGCCATTGGCATCTAGCAGACGCTTGCTCATACACTGAAATCCCTCCCAAAAGTGTCGCATCGGCTGGTTGGGCACCAGATTCCCATTCAGGCAATTAATAAGATCGTTGGGCTTGTCGCCAAAGTCTCGGCAAAAGGCTTGTGGATGCCATAGGTCTAAGTTCAAAGAGCGTGCTACCTCCGAAATCATCACTGGCTGGCCGCATTTCCAAACCTCCTGGTACAGAACTCGATTATCCGGATGCATGGCATCAGTGAGTCTAAGCAGTTTGCCATCGCAGAGCCACTCGTGAGGAACTCCTGGAGCCAACTGAGTGGAGTGGGCCAAAGTCATGGCCCTAGGTGGTAGGAACCTTCTCAAACCAGCCAATCCCTTCCTAAGGAAATTAATATGCTTGAAATTGTCAAACGCCGTTGTTATGGGGTCCTTTCCTAAGGTTTCCTTAGTCCACACCCGTCCTGGGACATAATCTATACCCCTCTCTCTAGCGAACTCCAGTTTCTTGGCATGCAGTTGATCGAGGCGCTGTTGCTGGTGTACCTTCTGCTCGGAGGCCAGCGACGAGTAGCTGGTGTGCTGTTTTAGCTGCGACTCCTTAATCATATCCTGGATCAGCTCGTTTAGTTGTGCATCCTCTACCGCTTGCTTGCTCAGAAGACAGCCGCAGACCTGTGGCACCTGCCACAACGTACGCACCTCGTGCAACAACCTGCCCAAGACGTTCAGGGCATCTCCGGCTATGATCTGTGTTAGCATCAGCTCGGTAAGGGCGTGCTCCTGCGGGCCACTGGGATCGCTGCAGAGCAGCCAGTGGTACTCATCGCATCCCTTTTGGGCAGCGTTCTCCGCACGGCGCAGTCGGAGTCCTTCCTTGCGATCTTTGAAGCAGTCCAGACACACTCCAAAGCCGCACTTGCGGCAAGTCCAATGGTAGTTGAACAGCGTGGTGTCACACACATCGCAAATCTCTCGTGTGCCTTTTACGGCCTTCTTCCAGGCAATGGTTCCGTCCGGATTCTGATGCAACCTCAAAGCCTCTGCTTCCTGACGCCACAAATAGCAGAACTGGTCGCCGGCATGCAGCAGGATGTACCTGCAAACCTGTATATCCATGTAACCGCTGGTCGGGGCTGTGTTTTTATCCGGCTGCCAAATAGCGATGTCCTCCGGTGAGGGTTCACTGTAGGGATTTGGAAAGCCAACAACGCCCAGCTCTCCGTTCTCATTGAACTGAAGACGTCGGAATTCATAGAACCGGCAGTACACATCGCTAACTGCACTGGATTCACCCTCCTTCGTAGTTAAATTTCTTCTTCGGCACTCCCGACACTTGGGAATCGGTGAGGATCCTGCCGCTGGCTGTGTCTGCTGCAGCTTAAAGCAAGGCAAATCCTGTAGGAATATCGAGCCATTGGTCCGGAACTCATCGTGCCGCTGCTGCTCCTCCTCGGTCAGCGGAGGCACTTGGCCAGGGCTCTCTTCTTCTAGCGGCAGTGGCTGTTCCGCTCTTAAAGTTGCATTCTCCACTTCCCGGCAAGCTCTCTTTGTGGGCGAGGAATCATTGGATATGTGTATTTCTATGATGGATTTCGGTTCGGAGCGAGAGGAAATTGATGCGGCCGAGGATACAGTGCGTTTGCGGCTCGTTCTTGAGGCGACCAGTGCTGCCAATTCTTTTTGCGACATTTCAGCTCCTCGGTCTTCGGAAACGAGAAAAGAGGGAGAAAAGAATGATCGTGGTTTGAGGTTGTTTTTTTGTAGACTCTTCAACTGGCACCCTGGTAATGCTTCCCATGAGGAGGTGGCTGCTGCTCCGTGCTCCATGCTCTTTCTGCATTGCGATTCAATAACATTGCGCCTCGAGTCACGTTCTTCTGTTCGCGTTTGGCTGGATTTCGCGCATCTTGCACACGATTACGACACGCCCGATGTTGCAACATTGCCGGTAATGTGGCGAACAACTTTCGTTGGCTTTCTTCTTCAATGCACACGCACATCCTAATGAATAGAGCAGAGCTTCAAGAGAATACAGCACAACTACTCACTGCCTCCACATTACCAGGCACACAGAAAACGATTAAAAATACGTTACAATAGCTTAAACTAGACTAAAGAACTGGGAAATTAGATAGATACGATTTCAGCATTTAAATTAACACCGTGATAATTCCTCAAGCAATCGTACATAAGTTTGGTGTAGAAATCCAGCATTGGCAAGCAAATTATTGATTCTTTACCTTTAACTTGAGGCCCATTTTTGTTTTCGTGTGTTGTTGTTTGTTGGTTGTGTTTGTAAATAAATGATAACTACGTTTCTTTATCAGTGTATGTAAATGTGTTTACCTAGTAGATCACGAGGAAGCAATAAATTACGGAACTTTAAATATAATTGACTTGCTCCTCAAATATCACGTATACGACATTATGTGACAATTATATTAGAGTGAGTTGCCAAAGTTACAGTTGTATATCTTGGATGGGTGGAACCAAAATTAAGGCCTAACACATTGTATATTGAGAGCAAATAAACCTGGTGATATTTTATATACATTTTTTTTTTTTTTGAAAAACTTAAACATGTGTCATTATGTGTCGCCGAGCAGAGAGGGTACCAGATAAATACATTCCATACAAATAATCACATGTATATTCATATGTATTAATCACCATAGTATGGGCGTAGCAAACTAAAAAGATAAAGACCCCTCTAAAACATTGCTAAATGAGTTTGGACTACCGAAAATTCAGCTATTTGTTGTTACTTTCATTAAGAACATGATAATCAACCGACTCGCAAATGAGAGGTTATCGCACGATATGGCGAGACATCCGGGGGATTCGGATTGGACCTTACAGCGCCGTTAACAGGGGCAACAAGTGTCAGCAGAAGTCCAGAACAGCACACACCGGAGGAATATGCAGAGCCCGGATAATTAAGGCGACAACGATAAATTAACCCCTGGTCACAAAAAGCAGAAGCACTCACACACATACACGCATGGCGACACTACAATCAAACTGACTTGTTTGTATTTTTTTTGGGCGTTCACCGTCATCGAGCAGAAAAGTTGTACGAAAAGTGGGAAAAGGGAAATGAGAATAGCACGAAAGGCGAAGCGAAGAAAACCCTACAAGTTACTCTGCAGCCCCCTCCTAGCGCCGTCCCCTTAACAAATTGATCAATCAATTCACTCGCTGACCTTTTAATTCAATGATGTTCTGCATTTTATATAACGCTTGCTGAGAGCATCCAACAAACAATTAATATGCCCACAGATACACTCTTGTTATTAACAATGCTGCCTGATAAGGCAGTCAGATAAATATTTATATATGCTACACTGCACTGCACAGCAATAGTACCAACAACTCGGAGCAGCTCGGCAACACTGTCCTATTACTACACCGTTCTACATTTGTTTTTTTTTTTTCTTTTGTCATCCTGGCGTTACTTTTCAATGAATTTGTTTTTGCTTGCCCATTTGGCGGTGCAGATTACTCGAATTCGCTGTGATAAATGCACAATTTACAGGCACTTGGCAGTGCAGGGAATGCACTCGCTGCAATTCAGAACCGCTGGCTTTGTTAAGTTTTATCAATTTAAATTTGTGTACTGAAATTCACAAACACCAGCACACACGCACACTGCCGCACAGGCACGCACACAGTCAAACGTCAAAGTTGGCGTTCCTTGGCATACAAATTGGATTGGATGGAGAAGAGAAGCTGACATTGCAGTGCGTTTTTTTTCAGGGAGTGGCCACTTCACTTACATCTACTTATTGCATGTTGTGTAACCGCTTGAATTTAACTTCTGTAATACTTTTGCCCGTGTTAACTACAGTCGATTTGAAGCGAAAAATTCGATTTTTCATTAGCACTGAGCGAAGCGCAACTAGAGCTGGCCAACAAGTCGGTGCTGTAGTGATACTATCGATTAATGGCAGTTGAAATGTGTGGTAGCCCTGGATGGGAGTAGAGCCCGGCTAACAGATTAGTACGCTCGCAATCAAATAAATCGATACTACAAATAATCGATTGTTGTTGCTCCAGCTGTTGTGTTCGGTCGGAAAAATGTCTTCGACGTTAATAAAATGTTTTAATTTGGCTAAAACTGTGGGGAATGCGACAGTCAAGAGCTTTCTGGCAGCCCCTAAGCAGCCATTGCAGGCCTGCAGGTGCGTTACATTTTACAAACTCGACTTTCACATAGAACAACTGATAAAAAAGCGCCTTTGTTTTTATGTAATATGTAGTGCGGCCGCCCTGCAAACGCCGCATGTTCAAATGTCCATGCAGCAGATGCACACTTCCCCAGTTCGCCGGGATCTGATGGAGTTCTTCGACGACAAGAAGAACTGGAGCGAGAACGAGGTGAAGGTGGGTCGCGCCTGGCGGACGGAGGAGCTGCGCATCAAGTCCAACAAGGAGCTGCACCAGCTGTGGTTCGTGCTCCTCAAGGAGCGCAACATGCTGCTGACCATGGAGCACGAGTGCAACGACAAAATGGAAATTTTTCCTAGTCCGGAGCGTATCGATAAGGTGGGCAATGCCTGATGGCAAAAATACTTTTCTAAATCTTCAGATTTGCAGGTAAAAATCTCCATGGAAAACCTCGAGACAGTGGTGAGGGAGCGAAACAAGGCGTATCACCTGTTGGAAACAGGCGAAACGGGTGAACGGCCCCAGAAGGCGGTGAAGAACGCATTCGGCCTGCAGGTCTCATACAAATCTTGCGAACACGCCCTGCCGCCGTTCATGAACCTAAAATGGATAAAATCCCGCAACATTGGCTTCGGTGGCAGAGCTGTGAACAGATTCCTTCTAAAGTACAGGGAGAAGCTCTACAACGTCAAGCGCAAGGCCAAGAAGTATGTCACCACTGGCTAAATTGGGAATGTTCATTAAAATCTTGTTTTCTTGCAGCCGCTCCCGCAACGAAGTTATGATGATCCTGCGTCGCAACCCCAATTTCGACCTGGATGTGCTGCGTCGCCAGTTCCCCGATGTCAACGTTGACAAGCTGTGCAACGAGGACAAGATTCGTGGTCACTATGTGCCCAAAGTTGGCGTATGAGCTACCAAGCTGCAGTTATTTAGTTATTAAAACAATGTACCATCGACATCTTTAATCTTCGTCAAACTTAATCTTAGTGCCCTGGAACGCAGCAATTTTCGGTTTAAACTTCTGTTTGGCCACCCAAGAGGGATGCATGCCGTCGGTGGGCAAAGGAGCAGCAGCCGCGGGTGAATGATTGATACTTGGAGCAATAATTTCTGCCGCCTGGCCATCGTCGCCGAATGTGATCTTCTTGCCTCTGAAATCTCCAATGATGGGTTTCTGCTGTTGCTTGGCCAGCCAGGAGGGATGACGATCATCGGTTGGCTTTCTCGCTTTGAACTCTGGCTGTCTTTCCGGTTTTTCTCGAGATGTGTTCGTCCGTCGCTCTTCGTTACGGAACTTTTTGACTGGCGGCGGACCCTGTTCCTCTTCAGCTTCGCTGTCATTGTCCCCGGAAAGAACCACGGCACTGGACAAGTAGGGCTGGCCTGATTCCGTGATGAAAAAGGGATCAACGACATGTGTGGGACGATTATTGTCAGGCTGTGATTCGTCTTCATCAATGCTTGGCTGCCTTTCTAAACGAGGCTTAGGCTTCTGCTCTCTGGCGGGTTTTTTCTCCAAAGGTTTTGGCTTAGACTCGTTCGGTCTGTCTTCTTGTTGTGGCATTTTTTCACAAGGTTGTGCGTTATTCTCCTTTTTGTGATTGGACTTGGTGTTCTCCGGCTTGATCTGGTCATCAAAAACATGTTTTTTCTTAAGGTTTTTCTCTTTTTTGGCAGGTTTTTTAGGTGTCTTTTCCTTTTTGACTTTGAGAGGTACTGAAGGATTCTCGGTTTTAACTGAAGTCTGGAGGACATCCTCGTCCTTTACTTGGCTGACTTCAAGAGTGGATGTTTCCGCAGCTACTCCATTAGCATCTGCATCCACCACTTTGTTCTGCTCTAACCACTCCAATCTGTTTTTGGTTTGAGCCTTCTGCTCCTTCAGCTCCTTGCGTTTCCTCTTCCGCTCCTCAGTGCGTTCTATTTTGGCCCGTCGCTTGCTCGTCTCCAGGATCTCCTCCCGCCACTTGGCCTCCTTATCGATGCTCAGCTTTAGGGTATCTACAAACTTGTCAACCAATCCGTGCATCAATTTGTTTAGCCGCAGCATGGCAATGCCCAGTTCATCCGGTGTGGAGCGCTCGTTGGCAATTACCGCATTGGGATTTGTGCCCTCCTGGAGGAGCGATTGGCGCACCATGTCCATGCATTTTAGGGCCTTTAGCTGGGCCAGGCATTCTGTGTTCTTGCGTAAACGAATCTTTTCCTTTTCACTGTCCGGATTTTTGGCCAGAACATCTTTTGTCTTTCGCAGCTTCTGTACGACTTTGGCGATGGTCTGGGCGCGTGCCTTTTGAATGACCTTCTTGTTGGATATCACCTGCAAAAGTCCTTGTTAATTAACAGGCTTTAATTTTAGATAAAATCGTTTATTTACCAAATTATTGAATTTCAATCTGTCCATGCTGTTTTAGTTACAGTGGTGGTTATAATAATAGACTTGGGTTTGTGCGCGTGCTAAGAAACGGTGATGCCAACCCGATCAACTACATACAATTTTTGAAAGCAGGAATCATCCGTCTGTTTTCACAGAATGCTGTATCGGTGAAATCATTTCCAATTGTTCTTAGTTAAAGCGAATTATATAAACTCGGCTGAAGTGCATGAACTGCTTAATATAAGATCCGAAATAGCAATCGCTCTCGCAAGTCCATCGATAGTGCCGGCCAGAATGTAGCCATCGCTATCGATAGTGCCATCGGCTTGGTGCCAGCTCTAGTATCTTCACAGCTACGTACAGCCTAGATTTCATCTGCATTTCACATACGGATTTATTGTTTTCCTGCGCTGTTAATTGCAATTACCGCACGGCAATTAAAGTGGTGCCATCGAGGACTACCGCCTGTCGCACCGTTAGCCGCGAAACTGACGTGAAACGTGCCCAGCAACTGCGCCGCGCGCGAGAGCGAGAGAGGTGGAGCAGAGCAGCGACTGAGAGGAGCGGAAAAACAAGGAGGAGCTAGCTGAACAGGCAGCAACAAAGAAGGTCCGCAGCCCCGGCAGGCAAAAGAAAAATAAAGAAAAAGGCGAAAAACAACGCCGCCGAAGTAGCAAATACGCCTGGTTAACAACTCTGGTGTGAGGGAGATTAACTAATTTGCATGGAGCGAATGAGTTTTAATTTTAGTTTGAGTCATTGATCTCTTTCTCCCATTTTTTTTTTGTTGCCTGTCTGGCTGTGTGCATGCAGTGGTGCGTGCGTGTGTGTGAGAGTGAGCGCCTGGTCGCAGTGACTCAGTGACGTGCATTAATTCCTGCCTAATTATGCCTTTAATTTATTTTAATCAATCTTAATTAATAATTTACTCCACTTGCAGCCCATACACGCACACTCACCCACACAAACACACGCACACAAGCGTACGGAGAGAGAGACTGCATCTGCGGGCGCTCAACAAAATCGATCGCGAGAGAGAGACTGTGACTGTGACTGCGACTGCGACTACGGCAAATCGAAAACGGACGCCACAGCCAAATGACGGAATACAAACTGGTCGTCGTTGGAGCCGGAGGCGTGGGCAAGTCCGCGCTCACCATCCAGCTAATTCAGAACCATTTCGTGGACGAGTACGATCCCACAATCGAGGACTCCTACCGAAAGCAAGTGGTTATCGGTGAGTTATACTAAAATCTGGTATTGCAAAGGGTGCAGAGGTCTTAAGCCTCTAGAGATTTCTGCTTTCTTTTGCTGTTTTGGGGTACCTCTTGAGGACATTTCGATTTTAATTCGGGTAAAACATACAAAGAGTATGCCAGAAGAGGTCTTAAAGAGTCCCGATATTCAAACGCATTCTACTTCCCTGCAGATGGAGAGACCTGCCTGCTGGACATCCTGGACACCGCCGGCCAAGAGGAGTACTCGGCAATGCGCGATCAGTATATGCGGACCGGAGAGGGCTTCCTGCTGGTCTTTGCCGTCAACAGTGCGAAGTCTTTCGAGGATATCGGCACCTACCGTGAGCAGATCAAGCGCGTAAAGGACGCCGAAGAGGTGCCCATGGTGCTGGTGGGCAACAAATGTGATCTGGCCTCGTGGAACGTTAACAACGAGCAGGCAAGAGAGGTGAGTACGGGCCTTCAGAGTTCCCAGCGAGCCTTCCATTCATTATGTTTCGGTTCTCAGGTGGCCAAACAGTACGGCATTCCATACATTGAGACATCCGCCAAGACGCGCATGGGCGTGGACGATGCATTTTACACACTGGTGCGCGAAATCCGCAAGGACAAGGACAACAAGGGGCGGAGGGGCCGAAAAATGAACAAGCCGAATCGTAGATTTAAATGTAAAATGCTCTAAACGGCCTCGCATTGGTTATTATTCACTTTTTATTTCTTCAAATTTCGCCTGTTTGTCTGTATGTGCGTCGGCGGATCGCCGATCGTCCCGGAATCGATGGTTTGTCCATTCTGGACACACAATGCGAAAAACACACACATGTGGGAGCGTGTCGGATAAACAATTGTTGGTCGGTGCAATTGTCAGATAAAAGATGAGAAATTGTAATTAATTTAAGTAACTAGAGTTTTATGTACGTCGAAATGATTTTGTGAATGTGTGTGTTTTGTGTCGTTTGAAAGGCTGCGAGGCGCCCTTTTAAGAGTATTAACAATAACAAGCAAACAAAAACGATCGAAGCAAATCGAAAATGAAAATGAATATGTACCTCTACATAAAAACTATGAATACTGTTGTAACTGCCTTGGTTCAGCTGCTATATCCGTTTGTTTTCAACCAGCACTTAACTTGATTCTATGTTGTTTGTACTTTAACAGATACTCCGTGCTTAAAACCGAAACGCAATGTAAACAAATATTGTGAATTTTTAGAGCCCTGTTATCTATTGGTTTTAACCCGACAGTCATACATAAATGCAATCTTTTTCCGCACACACGCATGAGCAGAATTCCATTAGTATTCATCATTAGGAACAAACAAGCAAAGGCCGATAAGCTCACAGCAATTTTCGCACAAAGAAGCAAATTCGTTAGCCCCAAACTAGATTTATGTTCAGTTTAACACATATTTGTGGTGCTACGATGATGAAATTATAATCCGTATGAGTTCTTGAGATATGCCTTTCTTTCTACTTACCATACTGACATCAATCAATCGGAGAGAAAACAAACAGCCAATTAAAATTACATTATATAGTTTGCTTTAAGCTTTTTATACATACATACATACATTTAATATTTAATTTTTTGTATTAATTTTTGCCATACAAAAAGAAACGAAATAAATCGATTGTGTGTACTATTTATACAATATGGTTTTAGTTTAGCTGGGCGTCAATTATTCCTCAGTATTTCTTACGTGAGAGATAATATTTTTAATCAAGGTTTTGACTTTGGGTCAAGCATGACTTGTGTAGCGAAATTAAAAATTACTCATGTTAAAACCAATTATTATGATTAAACTTGTTTAATGCAGTATTGAGAATAAAAAAATTAATTTGAATTTTTGCGTTGCGCGCGTAAATTGCAATGGGCCAACATTTCGATAATTCGAAGAACAGTTTCGAAAAGCGGCGATATCTAGTCGATATAAATTAGCTCTTCGATAACAATAGGCAGCAATCGGTGGGTGTGCTATCAAAATGTCATTGTTGGGGTCATCGTATCACTGTCAGCTCTAACAAAAAATTCTGTGCGTTTTTCTATTGATCTCGGAAACTGTAGCTTGACAAAAACCTTTTTTGCATAATTATAACTACGCGGAAGCAGCAGACGAGATAAATAGCTAGTATTAAGAGCAGAGCCATCATCTAAAAGGTAAACTATCAAGCAAACGTAGAAAAGAACATTTGGCAAAAAACGTTCATTGACGCGGTCGCCATTTTGTTTTCGCGGACGCCACTCCGCTTGTGTACTACTACGTATTTTACAAAAACTACAAAACATTGCGATTCCTTTGCAGTCGACAATGAGCATGGACGCTGGTAACTCTGTGGAAAGCCGCGAAAAGGAGCGCGACCGTCGTGGACGCGGTGCACGTGGCTCCCGCTTCTCGGACGCTGATGGCAATGGAAACGCCGGTGGAAACCAGGGAGGTGGTGGAGGAGGCGGTGGCAACAATGTTCGCGACCGGAGCCGCGAACGCCGCAATTGCCGCGTTTACATTTCGAACATTCCGTACGACTACCGTTGGCAGGATCTGAAGGATCTGTTTCGCCGCATCGTCGGCTCCATTGAGTACGTGCAGCTGTTCTTCGATGAGAGCGGCAAGGCGCGCGGCTGTGGCATTGTGGAGTTCAAGGATCCGGAGAACGTACAGAAGGCCTTGGAGAAGATGAACCGCTATGAGGTGAATGGACGCGAGCTAGTGGTCAAGGAGGATCACGGCGAGCAGCGCGATCAGTACGGCCGCATAGTGCGAGATGGAGCCGGGGGCGGTGGTGGTGGAGGTGGCGTTGGCGGAGGCAATGGAGGTGGCAACAATGGAGGAGGTGGCGGCGGTGGTCGTGACCACATGGATGACCGCGATCGTGGTTTCTCCAGGAGAGACGACGACAGATTGTGAGTACCCCCTTTATGCTAATATCCTATATGTGTACTTTTTCCGATGTTCTGGAGCAGGAAAGCAGAGTTCATGGCGCGCATAAATTATTCAATTTTTACAAACTTTCCAGCTGGCAGTGGTTACATTTAAATTGTATCAACGATTGCGGACTCTGCATTGAATCGAGTTTAGTTTGAGTTTTCATACATATATGTATGTAGGTCAGGAATAGATCGCAAGATATTGAATCCTAAAGTTGTTGTTTTCCTATTTGTGTGTAGGATAGCAGTTATCACGAACGAACTGAATTTTTTATTTTAAGGAATATCTATTGTCTCTTGTGAATCATATAAGTGGCACCGGAATTTGTATTCAGTTCAGGTTTCGTACTGAGTTAATCGAGGTTACCTAAGGTTTTCGTATCAAATTGAACCATATATCTTTCAAACATTTTTCTGATTGCTGATTTAATTAATAGAAAATGTTAATTAGGGGAACATGCCGAAAATTTCGTTAATTCGTAAGAAAATTAACTATTAATATTAGCTACGAGTTTACGAAAATATAAATCGTACTTTTCATAACAGTTAGTAGTAATGCATTTAGGTATAGATGCAGTTTGTGTTCATCTGATTACAACGAAATCTCCGAAATTCTCTTATTGATTATCAATGATTTTTTTCATTTAAAAGTGCTCCGTTTTGATCTCAAGTCAATTATGTATGTTCAGTGTTGAAGTTGAAGGTTGATCACACCATTTATAGTCGGAAGTGTTTGATTTTTGGTACTGGCAGCTCAAATTTTCTTAAAATATCAAGGATTGCTGGAATGTATTGCTTCTCAGTTACTTTTTGGGCTGTTTTTACAAAACAAAAACATTCGATATTCATGTATAAAGATATTTTCAGTAGCTGAAGAAAATAAGCGTTTGATACGATTTTAAACTGTAGCTAAAATGTAAACGCGTCTGAATATCCTGCGGCTCTCTTGGAATCCCACTTCTCGTAGCTGAAGCTTACTTGTGCTTTTGTTATCTTTCTCTGGAAATCTGGCTTCTCTTTTTCTAGATCTGGGCGTAATAATTTTAACATGATGTCAAATGATTATAATAATTCGTCGAATTACAATTTGTATGGGCTTTCTGCTTCGTTTTTGGAGAGTCTTGGCATAAGTGGACCTTTGCATAATAAGGTTTTTGTTGCTAATGTGAGTATATTGTAATATAAAATTCCAATAATCCTATGTATAGTATTCTACTGGACCGGACCACACTACAAATATGCTGCGTTTTCTTTTTGCTTCGGGGTCTCTGCTTTGTATTTATAACCCGCCTAGTTCACATCCTCCAGAAGATCTGTTTACTTGTTTTAATTCATCTAAGTCGACTCAATGTAATGAGAACTCCACGGTATCCTTTCCTTTTCGACATATGTTCCTTTCCCTCTTCGAATTTACGTATAGAATCGGATGTGTTGATGTGTTTAAACGACTGGGTGGACCTACATGGACCAGGGAAAGACACTGTTACCCTTTTCTAACATCGCTAAACACTAAATATATTTTAGTTGATAACAATACCACAGAATGGGCTCTAAGTATACTAGTTTCTCCTCAGAACGTTGACTTAAGCGGCAACATCAAATTGGGCTACGTAAAATCTTGTTTTCGAAAACACATTTTGTTTCGGTTAAGTTGTTTAATCATAATTGGTAAGTCTGCAGTTGCACTGACTCCTGGAAGTTTTCTGACTGTTTGTTGGTTGCAGTGTTTTGCCTCTTTCACACTTCTCACATTAGATTTTCCGCGAAGACCATTTCTTTTTCAAGGGTTATAAATATGAAGCAGTTACGGGTGTAGAAAAATTCGATGTCGTCTCTGGGCTATTCCATTTGGTTTCTGGGCACGTGTGCTGGACTGATTCTCCTGAGATTCTCGCCTATTGCTAGCATAGCTTTGCTGCATGGTTTTGTCACTTGTTGGACAGACAGCAGTTGGAATCAACATGGTCAACTTTCGAAACTATTTCAGTGGCTGAGCCATCGGATTGACACATTGCTAATTTCACTTTCTTCACACTCCCTGCAGCTGGACTACAAGGTGGACAACAAGAAGCTCAAGCAGGTCTTCAAGCTGGCCGGCAAGGTGCAGAGCGTAGACCTTTCGCTGGACAAGGAGGGCAACAGTCGCGGCTTTGCTGTGATCGAATACGACCATCCTGTGGAGGCTGTTCAAGCAATTTCCATGCTGGATCGTCAGATGCTTTTTGACCGTCGTATGACCGTGCGACTGGACCGTATTCCGGATAAGAATGAAGGCATTAAGCTACCTGAGGGCCTGGGAGGTGTGGGCATCGGCCTGGGACCCAACGGCGAGCCACTCAGGGATGTGGCCCACAACCTGCCCAACGGTGGTCAGAGCCAGGGCCAGTTGCTAGGCAACGCTCAGCAAGGATCTCAGCTTGGATCGGTGGGTAGCCAACCCAACAGCAGTGCTGTTAGCAACGCCACCACGAACCTGCTAAACAACCTAACCGGCGTTATGTTTGGCAATCATGCGGCAGTGCAGCCATCGCCTGTGGCTCCGGTGCAAAAGCCTAGCCTGGGAAACAATTCCGGTACCGGCGGATTGAACTTAAACAACCTGAATCCCAGCCTTCTGGCTGCCGTAGTCGGCAATCTTGGTAACCAGGGAGGAAATTTAAGCAATCCCTTGCTGAGCTCGTCGCTGAGCAACCTGGGTCTCAATCTGGGCAACTCCAGCAATGATGACAGCCTGACTCCAAGCAATGTGGGTCTTTCAAATAATTACAGCAGCGGCGGCACCGGTGGTGGCAATAACTACAGCTCTGGCAACAACTACAGCGGCGGTGGCGGCTCCAGCAACTTGGGATACAATGCCTACAGCAGCTCTGGTGGAGTGGGCGGTGGCAACGGAGGAGTTGGTGTAGATGGCAACGACTACAACACAGGCAATCCTTTGGATGTCTATGGCGGCGGCAGCAACGTGGGCAACTCCAATGTTGGCTCTGGCAATGCTGTCGGTGGATCCCGAAAGTCGGACACGATCATTATTAAGAACGTTCCAATGAGCTGCACTTGGCAGACACTGCGAGACAAGTTCCGTGAGATTGGGGACGTTAAGTTTGCGGAGATCCGCGGCAATGATGTGGGCGTTGTGCGTTTCTTTAAGGAGCGCGATGCCGAACTAGCCATTGGTGAGTGACACTCAAAGAGAGATTTCTTCAATTTACTAAACTCCAATGTCTTTTTAGCGCTGATGGATGGCTCCCGCCTGGATGGGCGCAACATTAAAGTAACATACTTTTAAGTCAAGCAGTTAAGTTCCGAAATAATTCTTCGTTTCTTGGCGCCAATTTACACTTCAAGCATGACCACATCCTCCGATGACCAATGAAATGAGCTGATTTTCCTTATTTCACTCGCAATACCGGAAATATTTTATCGAAACACGCAAGGGCTTATCCAAACAAGTGCAACCACATATTTGTATAACTTTTATATATATATTGGCATATTAATATACGGACAAATGATTATTGACGTTCCAAAAAAGAAGTCCCAATAAACCCAAGACGCGATCCAAATTATTTTTAAGTCATTGAATTAAACGAAATAAAATAATGTAAACCCTGAATTTTGATGGTCATGTTATGATGTGTTTATTGAATTTTCACTTAATTACTACAAGCATTGGTGGCTTTGGGGTTTGATACATGATAGGTTAATCTTCTTACTTGTGTAAGAATTTACAATTGTATTTGCTTGCTTAAATAATTAGATTTGATTTCGTTAATTTGCGGACGGGGTTGTTTTGAATCTTTCCAAGCGAGCGCGCGCCTTCTCTGACCAGGCTTCCTTCGATTCCGTTGTGGTGGGCGTCGTGGCCGCTGCTGAGACTGCTGCTCCTCCAAATCGCTCCTTCCGTTTCTGGAGACGATCCTCGGCCTTTGAGTTCGGTGCTTTGTCGGGCACCACGCATCCGAAACGTTCGGCACGTCTTTTGAGTGCCTCCTTTTGCTGCTCCTCCGTCTCCTTATTGCCCTTGTTGGCCGTAATGGAGGCACTAGAGGATTTATTGATGGCTGCAGCAACTGCGGTTGCAGTGGTGGCCACAGCGGGTGCGGCGGTGGGTGTGATGCCGAACTTTTTGGCTCGCAGTTCCAATCGCTCTTGTGCAGTCAGCTGGGTAAGTTTCTTGTCTCCTGATGGCTTTTCTCCATCCGTCTTCGGTCCAACCACAATAGGCTTATGCTTCTTGATAGGAGTCTCCCCGGTGGAATCACTAGCAGCTGCAGCGGGTGCCTCGTTCTCCTTAGATGGAGGTGTCCCCGTGCTGGCCACCGTGCCCGTGGACTGCTGGGAATTGTTTCGTTTCAGCACTATTTTCTTGGCCGGCACAGCTGCCTCTGAACCCATTGACGTCTTTTCTTCCGCCAGCAAATCCGGAATGGCCACAGTTGTGGGCGTGCTAACCGGACTCTTCAGGAGCTCATCGTCGTTTTCGATGCCCAGCAGCTTGTGCTCATCCTCGTCGGTCAAGGACACATCGTCGTCGTCGATGGCATCCGCTATGGCAGAATCCTCCAGAGAAAGGTCCCCCTCCAACAATGCGGTCTGCAATCGGTCCTGCAGTTCAGTTTTATTTCCATTCACGGTCAGTCCACGAAGCTTCAGCTCGCGCTTCAAGTCCGCCACCTGGAAAACAAACATATACTTGAGATCATCTCTTAAGGTTAATCTTTAAACTTACCTTCATTTTAGTCACGTCGTTTTCAGGCATTTTCACAGTTTTCGAAAAAAATTTACTCAAATCTTGTGAACACCCCGTACAGTTAGTGGTGAGATAATTACTGAGCACAGAAAAGTTATCGATTCCCTAAAATAAAGTATGTGTGTCGTGATACGATTGTATGCGAATCATATTTATTGTTCTAAATTACTTTCTAACCAAATTTTATTAAGAAACCAAAATTGAATCTGTTAGCTTGAAAAAATTAAATATTAAAATCTTTTAGCTATTACGTGAACCAAATACGATATTATGGGAGCGAGGGAATACTGGTCGATTTGTTATAATAACAATTAATCGATAATCTTACATTTTTTGGATTCTTTTTCTGACAGGCCAGTGTAATGGTTCTTGTCTTGTCTCTTGTGTCCAAATGAGGAACATAGAATATCTGATAAATCTAAATTTATTGGATACAAATGCCCAATTCTTATGTTATTGGATCAGCAACGTAGACATAGAAATTTATGCTGGTGGTACATTCAAGGCGGTCGTATTAATTGCGCCAAATTGCACTGCTAGGGATTGCTTTCTTCAGGCGCGCTCCCTTAGAGCTGAATTTGTTTTTTATACATAAGGTTACCGCGACATGTTTCTTGTAAAACTTTGGTCTGAAAACCTTTTCTCCTGTAGGCTAGCGGCCAATAGGCAATCGAGTGCCTTTCATATTTATTTTAGGATTCAGCAGATTCTGAACACAGCTACAGGCGCATTTGATCGGGCATCACTCCTAGCTTTCCACGATTGCTATTGGATCTGGTTATATTTGTTTTTGTCACTTCAGCTCTCACCCCCATGGTTCGCTGTTCCAGGCCGCTTACACACGATAAGATATAATATATGAGTGCTGTTCAGAAATAGCAACCGTGCACTCCGCACACCCTTCGATCCGCACAGACCGGAAACGGGAAGTGGAGACACTCTGCAACATTATCTGGTCTCGCCCTCAGCTATTCTTAGTCGCCCTAACTCCCTGCGAATTTGATTCCTTTCAGTATTTCACCCTGCGACCTTGGGAATCGTGCAATTCGGATCCCAGCTAGATTGAATCGCTACTATAAGTGCTCCTCAGTGCGCCGCACCTGCTCAAATCTCCTGGTACAATGCTCATTGTCAAGAGGCATCCAGAAGTATCTGTGGTGCTTGCAGTAGTGCCACACATGTTGCTCATGTGCTGCCACAAGTAGCTATCCCTAATTGGCACTGCTGCACATTCATATTTGTGTATTAATAATTTTCCGACTCTTCTCTTTGCTGTGGCCGCCCGCCCGACTTTTTGGGTCGACTTTTTGGCCTATGTCACTTGACCTTTATTCCATGTACGGCAGTGACTTGCCCAGTGCAGTGGTGATTCTAATTAATGTAATGCCCCATCAACGTGTCGGCTAATTGAACTCATGTATGCCATTGCCGCACACTCGCAGTGAACGCAGTTTTTTCGTTCCTACCCGTTAGGCGGTTCTTTGGCTTAATTACCCCTACATTGGCCAGATACAAAGCCTTAGTTTGGCGGCACGCACTTGCGGAATGTGGTTGATTAATGGCTCATGCCAGATACTCCAGTTGCAGGGCGGGATATGACGCAACAGGATTTGGCACTCATATATAGCTTGAAAGTAGTGCTGTGCTATCTCAGTTAAGTAATTATGTGTGCAGCAAAAGCGTATTACTTTGACGCACTTAGAAGTTGGATTCGATCGCCTAATTCGTAGCATAGAAGAAACAATGGATTTCCGACGCTTTTTAAATCCCTATTGCAAAGTTCATGAAATATTACGTTCTCAATTGCGAAAAAAGTGAAGTTTGTGCTGCAGCTGTTGGTCGCCAAGTCCCCAAGAAGCGACGCCTATCCAAACCATTGATAAGGAAACAGTGTGGCCCAAGTGCTAAGAGAGAGCTCTCTGCGCTCGCTCTTCGCGTATCTGCGAGATACTCGAACTGCGAGGGCAACAAATCGACGTGTATGTTCACTTCAGTTGGTTGACGACATCGCGAGCGATCGGTTGTGGCTATTCGTTTATCCGGTTTTACACTCCCGCCGCCGCCAGTTCGAGTAATCCCCTCCACACTGCGATCAAGTCGCACGTCATCGCCAGACGTGTTGTTCGATTGAGTATTGCAAATAGTACGAGTACGGATAAAAGTACGGGCACACAAGCCCCGTATCTATAAGTACGTGCCAGTGCAAAGCGACTACGCATCCGACCCACTAAGTTCATCCTCGCATGCAGACACAGCCAGCTGTGGGATTGGCCAACTGTGATACCCTTCCCAGAATGGACCTAACCACCCAGTGACCTTGCGATTTGGTGGGCGCTCGGTGGCTCGGCGGTTGAAGTAACAACATTTATCTTTTGGTGTAAACACTGTTTGCATAGAGCCCTCAGAAGTGGGGAGAGCAAACTTCGTGATCGTTTCTTTATCACCTGAGTCACTTTGTATGGCGCTCACGTCACCGCCCCCACCAAACCCCTTCGATTCGATCCGTCCACAGCTCTGGAATGCCAAGCAGTTTCAGCATACGATTCCAGCTCTCTCGCTCCCAATCGCAATCGCTGTGCTTCTCTCTTATTCTTTGGGGGATGGGGATCTTGCCAGGCGACTTGATTCTCCCCCATAATGGGTTCGATACCATTTTTAGTTATCAAACAATTATATGGCTACACAGCCATTTAAAGGCCGTCGCAGGAAACAGAGTACGTGAATCGTCAATGGCCAATCTCCATAATGTCGCTAATCAATTCATTGCGACCTATGGCACAATAAACACTCCGCATTAACCTCAATTAATTTAACTAATTGGCCGCGCGTGCCCTTGCAATCTGTCGGGATCCATTTCATTCTGGACTCGCTCGTTCTTCTGACCAGGTAACCATGGGTTTTCGCCATGGTTCCACCTATCGCCGTCGCTGTTTCAAGTCCAATTCCCTATGTACGAGTATGCACACCGCATTCACCGATATCTATCTTATCTAATCAGTTTATTAAATACGAAAACCCATGCGGGAAACCATAAAAATACATGCACATACACAATTCGTGTATTTTTCGCAACAATAAGCAGAGCTGAATAAATGTTTTGTGCTCTGGTGTAGGTGGTGAATAGGGGTCTATATAGAAATGTACCTATATAGACGACTTGGAGTTCCAATTCGATCTGGTTTTGGGCGTGAAGATTAGTTTTACTGCTCTCGGGCAAAAAGCTTTTCGAACGCAAGCTAATTTTAAACACTCCTCTGATAAAAGCAAAGGTTTCAGTTTGTTATATTATACTCCAGCACAAAATGAGATCCCGCTTTCTTAAGAAACTCAAGCCAAGTAATCTCAATTCTATAAAAGAATTACCTACATATGTACATTCTACAGACGGCGTTTCTTTTTCGTTATTGTGGAATTATTTCATAAATAACACTTACAGTCCGGAACTCTTGCGATAGCCCACAATAGAGTCGCATGATCCATCCACACTTGTAAAAGTGTTCGCATAATTCACTTATTGACTAACCGACAGTCCGCCTTTGTGTAACTTGGTTGTTTATGGAGCGTCTGCAGTATGGGAGCCAAACTAAGAGTCCACATATTGAAAGATCTATAGTATACTAAGGCCACTAAAGAGGCTGCTGATAAGGGGCTGTCTGAAAGCCGAGCTTTGAACTGGAGTGACCCAACTGAATTGCACATGCACATGAATATAGCCAGCTACAGTGCAGATGTGTCGCTTTGAGACCTTTCCTCATCTTGGGCAATCATCGCCACCGAATGCAAAGAAAGAGGGAGTGTGAAAT